CAGTTAGTATTTTACACAACATACTCAGACAATCCGGAGGAATCTCCAAACTGCTACAGGCTAATGACCCATTAGAAATTTATTCATTTGCGATCGCTGCTTGATTGGATAGGAGAATCTTTACATTGCCAGGATAGTTTAGCCTAGCAGCGCGATAACTGCGCCTGCTATTGTTACGCCGTAGCAGGCGTAAGAATGTAGGTATCTTAAAAATGTGGGAATAATTATTAATATTCAAACGTATTTCGCATGCTGTCCTCTGGATCGGTAGGCAAGTTTTTAGCTAGCTCATTTAACAGTTGATGGGTGGTATAATTTTTGTCCCCAGCATAAACTACATTGTATGAAATTCTGCTACATAGCTATAAAAATCTCTTTACATGTAGGTAGATTCGTTGGGAGTTCAGGTGTTTGGTTTCAGCACTGTCGCTCAAGACGAAAGCGTCCTACCCCAGTGCTATATTCATTCATATTTATTATACACGTTAGCTAGAAGCGTAATGCACCTAAGCTACTGTGCTGCGATATATAAAAGAAAAATGAAAATAACTACAGTTGCATGCCAACTGAGCTACCAGCAACGGATGAGCATCGTTCCGGAAAGCTATCTGCCGGCTATTAGGCAACAAGAAAAATTATTATGTAAAATTATATTATGCTACGAAATAAGATCGTCGTTGGATGTGGAGGCTAAATGGAATGGGGAGGAACAAAGTAACTCGCAGCACAAACGCCATTAAAGTCGGCTCCTAGCCATATCAGCAAGTGTAGCCAGCCAAACGTGTTCATCGTCTTCCGGACCCCAACCAGGGAGCCGAGACGCTCCAACTGAGACCAGCTTCGAAGTGGACCAACTGACTCCTTGGCCACCTCTCCTCTTCTTCCATCCACACCCCCGGCGCGCAAACAACGCACTTCGCGGGACTCGGTGGGCTGGCATGCGTAACACGTGGCCCAGCCATCGGAGCCTGGTGCGTGAAATAACGGTGCTGAGCGGTTCATTTCCTTCTCCTGTGCCGTAAACAAGACGTCGAATACGCTCGTTACTCACGCGGTGTTCCCACCAGATGTGAGCCAAACTGCGAAGGCACCGATGGTCAAACGTAAATAGCCTATTTATATCGCTTGATCAAAGGGGCCAGATTTCGCAACCGTACAGTAAAGTCGAACGTACCGCTGCATTGTACACTCTACCCTTCAGGGCGAGAGTGATGTCGCGTCGCCACCATAGGTGGCATAGACTAGCTAAAGTACTTCGAGCTTTTGATATACGGTTCGTTATCTCAGCTTCAATCCCACCGGCGCCGATACAACTTCCCAGATAGTTGAATTTTTGAACGACTTCTAGCTGATCCCCACCAAGGGTCAGCGCAGGAGGCGATCCGTGCCAATCTTGGAGTAAAGCTTTTTACTTCGATGGTGCAAAGCGAAGTTCGAAGCGGCTGACATCCAGTGCTAATCTGTCCAGTGCAGCTTGGCACGTCTGAGAGCCCTCACAGATTAGGGCAATGTCATCTGCATACTCCAGTTCAAGAAGTTCTTTTCCTGTGAGCAGATCCACACCTTCTAAGTCGTGTCCTGTGAACGTGATTTCCATGACTTCGTCCATAGCGAAGCTGAAGAGGAAAGGTGACAGCGGGCATCCTTGTCTCACACCGCTGGAAATGTTGAAGGGTGACGACAGCTTGCCGTAAGACCTCGCTCTGCCCGTGCCACGCGCGTATAATGCTTGAAGAATATTTACGTCTTTCCGGGTGAACACCTTTCCTGAGTAGACAGTTCCACAGGACACATCGATCAACCGAATCGAAGGCACATTTGATGTCGAGGAACACGACAACGGTGGGCCGACAATATGTGTGACGGTGCTCCAACAACTGACGCAAGGTGCAGATGTGGTCGATGCAGTCACAACCCCGACGAAACCCGGCTTTCTTCTTCCGAATCTGGCTTTCACGAGAGCCGGTCAATCTGTGAAGGATTACGGAGGAATGTAATTTTGAGGCGCTGGGAAGCAGACTGATTCCTCTATGGTTTCCCCATTCCGAACGCGAGCATCTTTTGAAGATGCGGACAATAACGGAGCGGCTCCAGTCGGTTGGGACAGTTTTCTGCTCCCACAGTTTCATTAGTAATTCATGTAAATCATCAACAAGAGCAGGTACCCCGAATTTGAAGAGGGCTGGAGGTAGATCATCTGGCCCCGTGGCATTGTTTAACCAACAGTGAGATTTCACGTATGACTATTGAGCGAGAGGGCGGGTCTAAATGGACAGTCCAGGGAGCGGGGCGATCACTGGCCGGTGAGGAATCGAACAATTCCGGCCGATTAAATTGTTTTTCAAAATGCTCAGTCCAACGCTCTAAACTTTTGACAAATTGTGGATAGGCTGCCCATTCTCGTCACAAATAGTTTTGCTAACACCAATTCCTCTGCTGCTCGTTTCCCGTATCAACCGGAATGATGGTTACCAAGGGCAGCGGCGATTTCCATCTCTTATGCACCATGAGACCACCAGGATTCGCGGTCTTTCTTCAGGCTAGCACGGAGGTTTGTTCAGAGCTCTTTGCGAGTTTCATGGTGTTCGCTTCCATCTGAAATATATCGGCGAGCATCGATAAGTTCCAGAGAGCGCGAAAAGACCCAATGTCCAATTTGGCGATTAGACTTACCACATGATGATTCACCTGCTGGTAATAAGGTCTGGTGAACATGCTACCAGTGACCTTCAGTTGTCTCTAGTGAGCGCTTACTCACCTCTCATGCCAGCGTACTTTGGTAGGCATTCAGAACAGATGGCTTTATCAGTTGACTGGTGTCAATGCGCTCACAGATTCGTCGTGGGCTTCCGCCAAAACACATCCGCATGTCAGCACATACACAAGTGCATGGTCAGTGTCCACACCTGTGCTCCAAATCGAGCGACAGTTCTGCATGCAGCCCTTACTGCAGTAACTGGTTGCAGTGTGATCAATATGCGTGCATAGCTGGTTCGAGGCTGGTGGGTGCCAATCACCCTCCGGCGAGTTCTGTGTCGGAAGTTAGTGTTCGCAGTAAATAAGCGGGCATCTTCACACAAATGAAGTAACCGCTCACCGTTATCATTACGGGAGCCTACACCATATTGGCCACCCAGCTGCATTTCATCAGTGGACAACTTTCCAACTTGTGCGTTCAGATCCTCCGCCAGCAACACAGTGTCCGTGCTCCTTCTGTGGCGAAGGAGCTGGGTCAGTTGGCGGTAGAAGTCGTTCTTTACCGAATCATCGCTACAGTTTGTGGGCGCATAGGCAGCGATGATGGATAGACACCTATTGGTCCCCCTCGACTTCCAAGCTTTGAACGAACCAGCCAATCGGACCGCACATATCCGGCTACTGATTGGAATCCAATCAACCAGAACAGCTTCAGCCCGGGGACTCAGGGCAATGCCAACACCAGATTCGCCGGTGCTCGAAGCTGCATCCTCACCGCATGGACGCAATGAGAAATTGCTGCTGCTGTCATCTGAAGGGGATCGCAAAGTGAGCACAGAGCTCGAGTCTTGCGGGCGGCTCTCCGATAAGCGGCAGATATCGATCGAGAGGGTCTCTTACGTTCGGGCAAGTGCTCCCTGTTGACCGAGCTGTAGCAATGTGTGTACGTTGAGGCATGCCAATCTGAAGGATGATCGAGGGTTCCAAATGGAAGTCGATGAACTGGGCTTGGCCGCTTGGTTGGACATGGGCTTGTCGACAGGACAAGAATGACGCTCCGCGTTCACATGTAGTTGAAAATAGAAGGTAAAAGGCTAGCAAAGCATGGTGAGGGAGGGACAATGTATTGGGGGTTGGAAGCTCGGGGGATTAAAGTGAAGTTTGTACGGGACCATAAGGGAGAGAAAGCGTAAGGGGAATAAGAAGATGGGAAGGCTTGAGCAGTAGCATCCAAACCCCTATCCACCCTGCTCGATGCAGCAGATTGGGCACCGCTGATTATCCTCCGCGGTTGCCAGAGCATCAATAAAATGTTTGAAGAGAAATGCATTGTATTGCGTGGGCAGGATACTGTAAGGTTGCCCAGGCCTAGACTGTAGAACGATTAATGTTCTCAGCTGAAGCCTTTGGTTCAAAAATCTGACCGCAAGTCAGCGGGTTTGGCGTTGGGCTACAAGGATTCCGTTTTAAGGAATAAGTTGCCACCCTCGATCCAACTCCCTACCTGGAGGACCAGGAGGCTGAGTTTGTCTGGCCTCTAAACATTGAACAATCCTGGTATGAGTGGCTCTGAAGGTGCAAATAAAATCATCACCCAGCATAGCTCAATGGATCACTGAGACACATAAATCATGGCACCACGGTAAGGTCCAGCCTGCTTGCGATGTCTTACAGCAGGATGTGAAATATCTTCGAAAAACGGGCCTAGTTAACCCAGCGCAGTAGGCATTTGGAACTACTTGACTTCCTTTGGCCCCAGTAATTGATGAGGTACGGAACATGATCTTGAGCGCTAGGCGGAAATTTATCACGAGCGGGCGCTGCATAGATCAGGAGCTTAAGGGTTGATGTGGCATGTAAACTGTTGTTCGATGTCTTAACCAGATGCCATTATTTGCCCGGCCCATCAATCGACACATAGCTAGGAGACAAATATACCTAGAATCCAGAGAAAGCCTCAGGTGTGAGTATGACTAAGGAACTAGAAGCAGCAACTAAGCTATAGCCAAAAGCCGCTTGCGCAGAAATCATCCGTGTGCACTGGAGAGTAGTAAGCTTTCAGTTGGTGCTGAATCACAATGTGGCTATCAGCCTGTCGTCCGGTCGAGCTGGATAACTAAACTTATTCATGTCATGCTTTACGTTACTTCGGACCTTTATTGAAGCTGGTTGACAATGTCTAGTTAAGAATGCATACCTTGTTTCATAAACTCCTTTATTAAATTTTCTGCATTAATCACATGTGCCTGTCAATGGTTGTGTCAAGGTGTTCACATCCTGTTCATTACTCCGCCATTTTTCAGGTACAAAATGTTGCCGCAGAAACAGCCACCTTCCAGCTTGTTCCGCAAAGGCAGCTCTAATTCAAACCCTGTGTCCAACTTTACATTCGATTCTTCGGTTCTCCAATTCACTGACATTATTGGAGTTGCAGAATCTACCTCTGAGTGCAACAAGTATTTCCGCATTGTGCAAGGTGCGCACACATGGTATCAAAATAATAACTAAATAAATGGCGTATTCCTCGGCGATACGAAACACCGTCCAACTGTGTGGTCTGATCAATGTCGTTATACAGCTTACCGGGTCCTATTCTACTAATTTCTAAACATATATGCGGAAACGCACTGTGGTCTAAAAGTGTACCAAGATGTGTCAGCACGATTGCATCCTTCTATTTGATTTTGTTTTGGTGCTGCTTGTGAGAAATGATTGACGGTTCTGCAAAGCAGTCATCGATCCGTATGCATCAGGAGAACAAATGACCCCACTTATTAGATCCATGTGGGTACTCTGAGCATTCAACATGAAGTAGTTCTGATCTACTAGATTCCAGTAAATTGCGGGGCATGCGCCGACACTTTCACTGACTTGGTTTAAACTCCGAAGTGTCGACGCAGCAACAATGTCCGGTTGTCGTTGTTGCTTGCGTCCTATAACTTTATTGTAAATTCATGAAACGTTACTTCGATCGTCAGCTAAATGACGATCCGTCACAGAAAAAGTACGAGCACTGTAATAGTGATTGGCGATTTGAACGCTCATGTTGAATATTTTTCCAACAACGAGGCACATCTGGATAGCCAACATTGCGTGGGTTCACCTAGTAATAATGACGACTGGTTGCTACGCCTGTGTGATAATATTCGTCTATTCCTCGGCCACGTATTACACATTCTAGCCTATCGCTTTTTCCGTCAAGTATTATTTGCCCTTCCCGGAAACGAATGGTAAAAGTGCCATGATGGACATCCAGTAACATGGCAAAGATGCATGGAGATGGCATTTTCAAGACTAGCATCAGTTGGATCATTCCACCTACGAGGCTTGGGTCCACGCAACACTAACTCCCGGTGGTCACAAACGTAGACCAGCAACAGACGTCAATGGCACCAGTGTTAATCTGCCGTAACATCTCTAATTTAATATTCGATCAAAAAATTCAAAACAACGTTTGCAACACGGAAAAGAACCGCTCTCTTTGTTCGTTTGTTCTCTGGTCTCCTCTTCCATTGGTTTTCATTTCCGCCATAGTTCTGATGGCATTTTGTCTACAATCAAACCTTTGGATTTATCCAAATATAAAATGTATTGTAAATGCCTACTTCGTTAAGTCTAAATGTCTGTCTGAATAAGCTTCCTTTTACTTAGATACATCGTTTAAGCAGATTGTGGGTAAATTTGTTAACTTTTCTCGTTTGTGGCATTTAAAAAATAGCTTTTTCTGATAACTTAAACTTATTGCGCATTGTTGTTAACCAGTCGGTTGGCACGTTTGCTTTCCAACCATAAAATCACCGGTTCGAATCCGCGTAGGGGTGGGCGTCCTCGCGGTATACTCAGCCCGCGCGCGACTAGTGGTGGTCGCGCGGCAGCGAAGCGCCGTTACGGCGTATAAGCTGACACATTTTTTTTAGTTTATTGCATATGCTCATTTAGCGAAAAGTTAGGTTTGTATATTGTCATTTAAAGTGATTGGTTGTTGTTTTGACATCGCGCTGTGGCTGCGCTTGACGTACATGTTGACAAGGTATCTACCTCTCTAACACCCTCCACCTCGACCACTTGCTCCAGGAAACTGAATCGTTGCTGGGCGGGTCGAAGTGCATGGTCCTCATGGCCGTGTTAGGCTCAACGGGTGGCTCCATGCACTATGTAGCGGTCTACCGTCCAGCCACCGTCTTGTGTGCGCTTGATTCCCCACATACCGCGTGCTTGTGATTGTCTGTGAAGAAGTGCGGGCCGGCTCCGTTGATGAAACTTGGCTCCCATTCACATGCGTCCCGGGCTTAATACTTCGGGTTTGCACTGGATATGGGGTGTGTGATTGGAGCTGTGGGTGGTGCAGCGCAAGGCGTCCTGTGTCTGCCCACAGTGACATTCAAATCTGAAACCCGATGCCGTCAACAATATATATATATATATATATATATATATATATATATATATATATATATATATATATATGCAGCAATCCGCTTGGAAATCTTGGGTGAACGCGTATCTACCGGTTTCAACGAAACAAGACCGAAACTGGAATGCGATACTATTACAAACAATTAAAAACAACCATGTACGATAACTCAATAATCTGTGCTTCTGGCACAGGCGTATCAGGCGACAACAACAATCCAAGGTAGCCAGCAAGCTGCGCTCCAAGTTCAAGCAGAGCAATCTCGTCTCAATATACTGTGGTTAATTGGAAAGTGAGGTTGCCTTGAAACACGGGCGTTCGGCCAGTGCCTTACACACACACACACACACACACACGACGTGATGGCATTGCAAGTATTTCAATTGCACATGGAGTATATTTACAATCGTCTTCACGGATGAGGCGGTTTCAACTATGTGAACTCTACTCACCTGAGCTCGCAACATCGTCAGTTCACATGCGATGTGAGGAATGTCTTGCACGCCAGTATCCAAATACCACGGCGAGGGAGTTAAACCGGAACATCATAAACTGATAACATGAGGCGAAGCCACCTGAAGCGACAATTAGGTCTGTTCAGGACTTGAAAACATAGGTCAGTGCTTGCGCGGTCGTATGCAGGTCATCTGTGTGTTTAATGTGCAAATAAACTTAATTAAATTGGCACGGAACACACTCGCCATTGAGAGCCAGATAAGAAAGAGGAGTTGGGAAGAGAAAAGAGCTGGGAAAACGGTAAAGGGAACCACAACCGTAGGTCAGGGTGCGGTAGAAGGGCAGCAGAGCATGGGACATTTGGGAATCTTCTACAATATATATATATATATATATATAGATATCATTTTTACTTTTCATTGCACGTTGGGCAAAATTATCGGACATGTAGGCAGAAAAGCAGCAATTCGCTAGCAAAATGTTAAATCAGGTCAACAATACGCTTATGCACCCATGAAGAGTGAATATTCAGCTGCGACACACTCGCTAAGGACACCGATGAAATTAAATGAAAATTGAACAAATGTATATGATGTTTTACCGATTTGAAATGGTGAGCTCGTCGAATCAGTCTGGCAATAAAGTCTTGTTTGACTACATTTTGATCTTTCAGAAAACGTGACAAATAGGGAACAACTGCTATACCGTAAGCCCGCTTGCGAGCATAAGTGGCTTTGTATGTTTGTCTGATCAAAGATGTCAAGATACATTTGGACAATGCACAATAGAGTGACTGGGTGACTGGCATCACTGAGTATCTTGGAAGCCGGTTTTTCGCGGGATCGAGCAGGATTGGACACTGATTTCAGTTAACACTAACATAGAAATTCCGCTGCATCGAGCAAAATGCTTCAGCGATTCGTTGCTCACTTTGAATAACCCTTTAAAGAGTCCAGGAAATAACACAGGTGAGCAAAACATCCAACGCAGTATTACGCAAGCCGTGTCGAACCGTAAACTCAAGTAACGAGGTACGGATGAAGAACTAAGTCGGGAGAGGTAGAACGTTGGTCTCCTGAGTTTAGTGAATGTTTCATTCACTTGTTGAGACCACGTGAGATCCCTAATTAGTGCACCCCGAAATATTTCGCTAATGTACAGGAGTCCAGACTGACGCTGTCAATACTAAGATGTGGGGTATAGGTCAAAAGCTGATGATAACAATTTCCTTGGACGGCGAGAAAAGAACATATTTACACGTTGACGCATTGAGTGAAAGGCAGCAGGATTTGGACAAGGTGGTTAGATTGTCCAAGAAGCATTGCAAGTTGGCCGATGAATCTGTGGTGTAAGGCGACTAGGCTGTGTTCAGACTACGTTGTAGTCACGCTAATGCAACCGAATTGTGTAAGCTGCGGAGACCACCACAAATACTTTTCTTGATCATAAAGCTCGAGTAAAGGTGGTGACTGAGTATCCTCGTCTCTCCCACTCTGTCTTCGAGTAGTCTCTGTGTCGTTGACTTTACCCATCTATCTGTGTAACCATGTGACTATTGGAAAGTCACCCTCCCGAATCACGTGGTCTATTATGACTTTGTGATGTGCTACTCAGTTGCTAATCGCAAGAGATGGCACGTAAGATACGTGCCCAGTACGGAAATAGGGAGAACAGTTAGAAATTCTGGACCCAACCTGTATTGACAAAAGCTAGGAAGGATGGAGGACAGATAAGCTAAAGCTGGGAGCAGTATTGCAGCGCGACTAACCAGGGGTACAGGTGATTGGTAGATATAATCAGTTAAACAGATGGACGATCGGAAGTTATACATAAGCAAAACATCTAATGTCACAAAAAACTGAATGCGTGAATGATTCATGTTCACTACAACCGAAACAAACGTTACTTAGCTTTAAATAGGTAAAAACTTCGTCACATCTAGGCTCACTCAGACAGCCGCCACACGCCCGGAAAAGCACTGTACGCGCGTTTCATCCTTTCGGGAATCATCAGCAGTGCGCATTCCATCGGACCCTTGGTAGGGCTCGAAACCGCAACTCGACTGTTGCCAGTCCGTGGTTGAGACCACTGAGCTACGGGGGACGGCAACGACCATCGTGAATAAGTTACTAGATGTGATATAGCGCCGCTCACTAAGCTGTCGCTTGGTGAGGGGCTACCCTGTCCTCTGCACGGCAGTAACGTGTAAGTCAGTGGATAGTGAGCGGCGCTATATCACATCTAGTAACTTATTCACGATGGTCGTTGCCGTCCCCCGTAGCTCAGTGGTCTCAACCACGGACTGACAACGGTCGAGTTGCGCGTTCGAGCCCTACCAAGGGTCCGATGGAATGCGCACTGCTGATGATTCCCGAAAGGATGAAACGCGCGTACAGTGCTTTTCCGGGCGTGTGGCGGCTGTCTGAGTGAGCCTAGATGTGACGAAGTTTCTACCTATACCATTCAACTCCCCCTACTACCCTTCTGTAATTAGCTTTAAATAGTCATTGTGCAGCAAGCGTTTTGTGAATGGATTACAATGCACAATCACAAGGTAGACCGCGTTTCCCACTGTAGTAAACCTTGGCTAATTCGATCACTGGAAT